TATCTGATAGAGTACCTTTGTAGCGAGCATTCGTCTTGGCTTGGGTGACTTCATTTTCTACTCACTGCTGATTGGACTCACTGCAACTCAGGACGATTGGATAATAATCATTTCATGTTATGTGGCAATTATGACAGGCCTTTTCTTCACAATGATTCTCTTAATTGTGTGAGTTTTTCACCATCCGATTTTGAACGACTTAATTTGCCAGAATTTGATGTTACAGAGTCCAACATGCACTGCCGGCTCTTCCAATTTCCATACTCTTTGGAGTGTTCACAGCTTTTGCCGCGAAATATGTTATGTCAAAAATGGTCCTTATTCTCAACAGACGACTTATTCTCATTTGATTTATTATTATTCTTATTTAAATTTTAAAATTGAATCAAATTTAACCGTAACAAATGATTAGCTAATAAAAGTCTTCAAATGAGAGTCGCGTGGAATACAGCCCGAAATAAATGAATAGTTACCCTACGCTTCCAAAAACCAGATGCGCGTCGAGTGCAGACCACACACCACAAGTGACGACGGCCTCCACAAAATGTAAATGTTTTCTGCCAATGAAATGATTAGCCTGTGCAGTTGTATTCTATCAGTTTCACTAATTACAACTATCATTTACCAACTATCAGCTATCACTATGAACCACTAGTAACCAGATTTACTTGGAGGCCGTCGTCACTTGTGGTGTGTGGTCTGCACTCGACGCGCATCTGGTTTTCAGAAGCAGGGTATACATCTCATGGAAATGCCCCACAAATCTGTTGGTCCGTAAATTCACTCAACATCCATGTAGCATTTTTACAGGCGTTTATCTAGTAAAGTAGAACATATAAGAAAGTGCACTGAATTAGGGATTGGTTAGAGGCGACCTTGCGCACTTGAGGCGGCAGGGTTAGCTCTCTTCCATGTCTTCAAGGTCAATTCCCTTTTCGTGATACCACGATTGATATCAAGCTTTTCTATGAGGGCAAGGTACATCGATCAGGAGCACATTCGTTTTCTGGACTTCAACTATAGATCGTTAAGTCATGCTAGGGTCAATGTGGGCCATTCTCCTGCCGCAAAGTTGTTGGGTTCGACCCCTATGGGCCAAACAGGACCATTTTCGCCACTCAAAACACTTAGAGAAGAGAGGAAAGAAACTTGGGACAGGGCACGCCCAACGTTGAGATGTCTGTGTGGTATGTTTTTTCTGGTTTTCGTAATTCCTTTTCTTTACTAATGTTTTCTAGACTACTTCTCGCAAATTTCCAGCTTCCGGGAATGAGAGGGGTCTATTAGCGCGTTGTGGGGGTGCGGTTTCACTTTCTTGGATCCTTGACCAATCAGTCAGAACTTACTGTTTTATATTTCACCCCCTAATTTGTCTCGTGTTCCCCTGAAAGCGGGATGATTTCATCTACGAAAGTCACAGATCAAGCCATGCAGTCAGCTCGGTGCTCCTGAAAGCAAGTCGAGTGCATGGCGTACTCCCTAGAGCTCACTATACTATATCGTTTTATCAACATTCATGAAACGAATAACAATAAGTGAACGTCGTTACAAAAAAGTCCTATTAACATACAATTTCGTTGAAAGACTAGAAAGTACAAAGTAATCACAACTTGAGCACATCTATGTAATCAATAAATACTAAATGCATCTGATAAAATTATTAATTAGCATAAATTCCATTGCAAGTAATAGATAGGATAAAAATGGCAGTATGAATCCCGACCTAATGAATCCATCGACGGGAAAAGCTACTCGTTTCGATAGGTTGTATATATGGATAATATAATGTATAGATAGAATAACTACATACGATATAGTCTCTTCTGAGACATCAGTGACTATACAAAGCCTTTTCTTCCGGGCTAAATCGTTCATAGCCGTCATGCTTGAAGGATGATATGAAGAAGAAAACCCTATGATTCTAGGGAAAAACGGAACAACAATATTTGATTATGTGACGTGGACAGCCGGGATTATGAACCTTTCGCCGTCGCTCAAGCTCGTTTCACTCGTTTCTTGGCGCACAATTGGGCACACGACTGAGCACAAGCTGGTGCACACTGTCGTGACTGTTGGCCGGCAAACGTGCATTGACCCTGAATTTTCCCTTTATTTGGCGTTCGGTATATTTCACACAAATTTCTACTCATTACTTATTAAAATAGCAAGCCCAGAGGCAGGGTGAATATCGGTCGAGGATTCCTCAACGGCTTGTCGAGGATTTTCGCCTGATCAGTTACGCTCTCCCGCGCGGACATTCACACTCGCCATGCGCGAGCCGTCTGTGCTCTCCGCGCGTATGTTCACTCTCGGCACTACTCTCGCACAGTAGAGAGCTATGGTCGAGGAATTCCTCGACCGTTATTCACCCTGCCCAGAAGTGGGAGGAGGAAATGGGGTTCCGACGGCACGCATGATGGAATACTGGGATACGCACGCATCAGCTCACCAGTAAGACCTAGTGACACTTTTTTGGGATCGTGTTATTTATGCGACCAGATTTACGCGCCAAAGAGGAAAAGTAACCCAAGCGAACACAATATAAACCGAACGGGGTGACTAGAGGGAAGACCCAATACACCCTTGGGTAGTTCAGTACCGGCTCGGGTAGCGAACCATCTCACAACAATCCAAACAAGCTGGAATACAAAAATTCTAAAATTGTTCCGGGGACAAAAATGATCTTCCTACACAGAATTGAAAATGATCTTTACACAGAATTGTAAAATTTCCACTGAAATATTGGCAGCAGTGAATATTTCTACACAACGTTGTTTTTACTATGAAAATGTAAAGAACTATAAATAAATAAATAAAAAAATAAACTACCGTACCTTGCACACAGTTTCGCAAGCATTCTCGCAGCTCACCACTGGACAAGCCGTTTCACATTTCTGTACACAAGCCATTCCACATCCAGAATCTGAACATATCGAATTTGATCCTATGCAAAAGAAACTATGCACGTCGACTGAAAAAAAACCCTGCAGCAAACAAAATACCGGTCACAAGATATAAAATACAGTATCCTTTTATACGCGAACAGACAGCAGGAACATGATAGCAGTAAATGGTACAGATTGAGGTGAATAGGTGGCATCGGCACTGGGGTAGTTAAAAAGAAAATAGGTGCAACAGCTTGTGCCGCCTGATCTTCGAAAGGATCAGGAAGCCTAGGAGAAGTGGACCATTCCAAGTGCGCAAAAAAGGGGATGAGGTGAGTGTAATTTCTTCTGAACATTTAGGATAAAAGAAAATGGGCGCTATTACAAAATTGGGGGACATCCTCTAGGACTAACCGTAAGCGTGGAGGAGGGCAGGAACTCCGGAGAAATGGGAATAGCTTGCGCACACGCGCACACTAAATTCTCCTCCCTGCCTAAGACTTATCGTTAGTCACCTTCTTTATAAAAATTGATATGTTTAGGTGATTTGAATGCATTGCCGCAACCCCCTGCATCTTGCGATAGCGCGATGGGAGGGAGCATTTTGGTGCAAGCAAGGCTATAAGCTTTTCCTGGCGCTATCGCAAGATGCAGGGGCATGTTGACCTATTACTGTAGCCTGTGCGTAATTAGCTACTGTGGCCAAACGGCGTCACTCACAAAAAGCGTAAGAGTTTTGGAAAAAGCTAATGGACCGTACCTTTATGTAAGCACTCTTTCGTACATTGCACATCGCATGGCAGGTTGCAGTCGTAGGCTACAACAAGCTTCATGACGGGAGTCGGTGCCGAACCACACAGCTGTTGGCAACTGGCTTCACATCCTGCAAAGGCTCATATCTGTCTGTCTCAGTGAGGATAGAATTGATCTAGCCACACCTTGACGATATGTTGCGCTTTAGCTTCTTTTGAAGCGTGAAAACGGGACAATCACAATTTGTGAGTGCGACCGAAAAAGCAAGGAAAAACAGAAAACAGATTTATTTAGCTACTTTTTGAGCCGCATCAATCATAGCCGATTGCGCATGATCTATAGAATGAAGTGCAAGCAAGTCTTGAAGTGGTACGAAGTCTCGCATGTGGGAAAAACAGCTGAGGTGTGGCACCGCTGCTTACCGCACTGTCCCGCGCGACCAGTTCACTGTCAACTGTAGATAATAAATCGTACCTCTTGAAGCACTGCTCTGTCTTACTCGAGCAAAGATTCTGGCAGTCTGTCATACATCGAGGAGCGCAACTGTCCGCTCGTTGCACAGCTGGTTGTACTGCCATCGCTGGAGCTGCTGCTTGCGGTGTACACGATTGCGCACAGATATTCGTACAAGCGGCTCCGCAACCCGATCCGAGCGACGTTGAACTGGCTTGGCATTCGCGCATGCAGCTCGCCTCACATGCTGGTTGGCATTGTCGAATCGATCTGAAACTCTTGTTAACTATTTTTTGAAGTATCCCTAGAGTTGATAATATAATAGCAAATAAATGTAGTTGACGGATAAATTTTCATATGGGACAAAATACGCAAGACATGAAGGCTGAAACCATTAAGCGTTTGGGCTAGTCAATCGTATTGTAGAGTGCGCCATGTTTCAAGCCTTCATTTTAGAATCCTTCCTAACTATGCCATTATTTCCAGTACCGATTTCTTACTTTACTTTTCTTTTTCTTTTCGTAACAGCTTTTTAGCACAGTTCCGTTTCTTCGAGCCACATGAAGGAATAAAGTGACATCTGTGTGGGCTGGAAACAGGAATAAAAATGGTCAACAGCCCCCGGTAACCCTCCACGGTAGGGGTTGGTGAGATTGTATGGGAGAAGGTCAAACCTCAGCGTCAGGAATATTGCCAAAACGAAGAAGGATTGGAGTGGTAAACTCTTTATTATACAATAGGGGTAAGCAATAGGTATACAAATGTTTACTTATGGAGATGGTGTACTAATGAAGGGAGCGTCCTCCACGGGCACGACACGGGAGTCAAATCCTGGATCTTCCTGGTTCAAATCTTAGCTCAAAGTGTTGAAATTCGGCCAGAAATTGTATGACAATCCAATACATTACCTCAACTTTGATGGGCATCGTTGGCGGATTGAACGCAGGTTGGTTCGCAAGCAGGGCTGACAAGCTGCCACGCATTGCTGTGTTGGTTGTGTGACCGGAGGAGTGCTCTATAAACACTTTTTATTAAATTCAGCTAACGCGAATATTAACTAACATATAGTTGAGAACTACAGTATACCTGTGTACAAACTGCGCTGCATTGGCCATGGCAAAGATTACCGCAGTGTTCCTGTGGAAGCCGTTCAACACATTGAGCGTTACAAGACTGAAAAGTGGCTTTGGAAGAATTGAAAATGGAGGACCAGAGAAATCCAGTAATCGGACTCGGAAGCCAAGTGACTGCAATAACTTCATAGCAGAAACAACCTCTACACATAATTTCGGGGAAAAAACGAAGAAAAAACATTCAGGACAAAAACTTTGACTCGTATGGATATCAATTCTATATCTTCGTATTTTCGAGCCAGAAGAGCTGCCGGAAAATATCATTTGAGATTGAAGAGAGTTTTTCGTGTTCAACCACTCTGCCAATGACCACAAGTGTTGTTGTTCACGCAATGAAATAAAAAGGGACTTATAAAAGGGACTAGGGAACATCACAAGATATGTGGAGCAGGTGAAGAGGGAAGCAATTCAAAACCATCTAACGCAATATGTGCAAAGTCCATTTTGTTTAAACTGGGCCAAACCTTAGCAGGCGAGAAGTAGAGATCGAGAGCGAATAGGCAGTTTTCCTTCTGGCGAGCTTTTGCAACCTCCCTAGGCCTAGTCCTAGAGAATTCCCCGTATTTTGCGATAGCGCCCTTAAAGTATGGGCATCACCTTACGGCGGTAAAGACAAAAGATAGAATTTGTCGATAACGCAGAGGTGTAAGCGCTTGCTCACCTCCATGATGCGACTGTGTTAGGCAATGAGAGACTGAGCGCGGTGAGCAGGGCGTAGGTGAGAGTTCGCAACGTGAGAGGTGCCAGACAATGGGGACATTGCAGCTGCTGCAGCTAACTTTGCAAAGCCCTAGCGCCATTGTAGGGCAATTTGCACGCAAATTAGTGCTACATCTGTGACTCTGCTCGAGGGCTCCATCCTGCATGAAATGGATTGTTCACACGACTTCTGCCTGGGTTGTGCCTTTAAGGAAAACAAAACAGATCAGAAAGCTTACGATTTCGCGAATGCCATATATAGCAAAGGGTGTTTTATGGTTCTATTTTGTAGTAACATTCATCACATTAACAGGGGTAGGTTCCACGGATGACGTTCCAAGCCGCAACACTTAGATTCATTAAAGGAAGCAGTCACGCTGGCTTCCACGCTGGATTTGCTACCCTCGCGTTATCAATCGATAAGGTGTGAGGCAGTAGTTGTTGGACGAGTGTAAGCCCATGGAAGATATGATACGATGAGATAAGAAGGTGCGGCTGCTTGATAAGAGGGGCACTTCAGAATGAAAACGGGACGATAACGATAACGGTATCATATCTAGCACGCTCTTATCGCACCCCTTTCCACATCGATAAGTCTTGGGTTTTGCTGAACTTGAGTGAATTTCGGCTCCTTATCACTTCATTGATAAGGGGCCACTGCCACTGAAACTTTACGTGTTCTAACATTGGGCAGGACCTCTATCCACTCCAATACATAGCTTTCCTTATCGTTGCCATGAAAATTATCGTGACTGCTTCCTTTAAGGCCCCTAATTCCAATACAAGGGGATGTTTCTTAACTACGAGCGGCTATAAAAGTCGATACTGCCATCACTGTATGTAAAGAAGTATGAAAAAAGATATCGCCAGAAAAATGTTCGTGAGGGGGGAGGGAAAGAGGAGGCGGAGATAGAAGGAATTTGCGCAATGCTGCTTCCGCTTTGATTGACGTCTCGGCAGCACATTTTCTATAACGTCCCTTCATAAGCTTGAGAGAACTCTTCGTTGCCCTCATTTTTTCAGAATATGAAGTAGTGCCAGAAATTCCACATTTTTTGATTCTATCCATGATTTTCTGGCCAGATTTTTTTAGACTTCGTTACCTTTTTTTTATTTCTTCAAACAAATAAGTAAATAAAAGTCACAAATAAATGCCAGAATTTCCGTTTTTCTGGTTTAATACATGATTTTTCTGGCTGGATTTTTCAGATTTTACAACCCTTTTTGTCTCAAAACAAATGAACAAATAAGCAGCACGAATAAATATGTAGTAAGCCCTCTTCACCTGTCACGAAATCGGGTAGACATTCTGCGTGCAGGCCAAAGTTGATCACGATTTGTGCGTTGTTGGCTGTGGGAGGGATTGCCTGTGCTGGGTACGCATCTTTTTCGGGCAGACCACTTGAGAAGAAAAAAGCTGTTCGCCTCGCCAAAAAAAAGTAACCGTTTTTGAACATAGATGGAGAGCTATGTACAGTACCTCTGCGCATACACCATTGCATAGCGCCTGATTCTTGTTCCCCTGGCGTTCACATCCAGTTAAGCATTGCGAACCACATGGACAGGCAGATGCGCGCGATCCTGGTCATTACGCTGGCGCAAATTCCCGTCCCTAAAATATGTAGCAAAATTGGCCGTTGATACCAAGCAACGGAAAAATTTCCTTTCTGAGGAAATACCAACTAAAATAAAAAAGTTTGACTTTTGGAGAAAGAATCCACCTTGACACATTGATCTGAACACAAGGGTTGACATTGAGGGGCACATTGAGGTGGTAATTGTTGAACTTGCTAGAGAAATAATGAAGTATTATGATGCAGTGAATTGTTCAAAAAATCAAATATTCGAATTAATGTAGAAAAATTTCATTGAAAACTTTATCTATTCATGTAGTACTTATCGGACACCCGAGTAAATGGACTCCTAGAAATCGCGCCGACAACATTAGGCCATCTGATGGTAAGACAGGACGTGGTATGAATTCAGATGCAATTCTATCGACATCAGTAGGAAGGTTATGAGAGAAAAAAGCTAACTATCATATTTCGTTTCTTTAAAAGCTCTTCGCAATTCTATTCTGAAGACAGTTTTCATAAATGCCCATTCTTACCCCCAGGGCAGAAATGAAAACAGGAGTCGGGCCACAAAGGGTCGCGATGAGGGTCCTTTGGCCGATTGCGGACCGCCCTACTTGGTGTATCCCCGCCTCATTTCACTTTTTTCTCAGCAGCACTTAAAAACGAACCAACGATTTGATTATTAAGGATATTTTTTTCCAAGTTTAAAAGGTACAAATGCATCCGGGAAACGGAAAAAACTGCTGAGTAAATAAAGGAAAAGTTTTTTCTCTCGAAGGAGGAGCGTGGTGCCAATGTGCATCACGTGGTGCACAATGGGTCAAATGTTCTGCTCATCATGGGCTTAGAGCGATGGAGACAAGGACAGATTGCATTTGCCAAACTTCCTTACCTAGCGCTGCAGGGCGATGGGCCCCGATTCGGTAAATGTACGGGAAACGTTAGAGTCCCCTCGACCATCCGCGCTAAAGTTCAGGTCACCGGCGCGCGGACGTCTGTTATCAGTTCCGAAGCATGGCGGTTTTAGGATCCACCTCTCTAGACGATCGATACGATACGCTTTTTTGTTCCGTCTGTGTAGTCCCCATTTCTGCATTTGTTTTTGCTTAGTCCTGGCAAATTGCCACGTTCCAACTTGTAAAGACCGGTAGCCGCCGCGTGCGGTGACCTACTTTCGCTTGCGCGGCGACCTCAGGCAGGGTCAACCGTCACGTTCGAACATTTTCGGGATTTTTGCGACCCCCTCCCTCTCGAGAGGGTCCAGTTGCGACCCCTCCCAACACACAGTTGCGACCCCCCAATACAACCAGCCTTCCTCCACCGCGACCTCTCCCTCTTCTATAGTATTTGATTCTGAGACCAGTTGACACAGCCCAAAACCTACCTAAAACTCCGAAACTCCACCCACTTTTCCCCCAAAAACAGCCGTCGGGCAGACACACCTATGCCCTGATCACCAAAGCGCGCAATGCGACCAATGCGACCCCTCTCCCCTCCCAGAACACAAATGCGACCCCCCGTTCGAACAGTTCGAACGGACGGTTGACCCTGCCTCAGGGGGACTCTTGTCTCGCATCCAAATGTACGATAGGCCTAATCAGGCATTTATGCAAGCGAAAATGGAAAAATAATCAGGGCATAAATAGAGCTTTTCAATGATTATTTCAGTCATAAAAAGGAATGACTTGAAAAAATAATATTTAAGCGATTTGTTACCTGTACAGTATTCTGGCGCATGATACATGACGGCTCACAGGCAGGACGACAAGCTTCCACACACTGAATCTGATTTTCGGTCACAGTGATCACTACATCTGGCTGCTGTTGAACACAGGCAGGTTCACAAGCAGGTTGACAAGCGGCAATACATTGTGCAGGCTGAGCAGGTGCTACCACCGGCACTTGAACTGGTGCCGGGGCTGATGGCAAAGGTCCTGGCTGAGCGGCATTCTGAATACATTCGCTAGTGCACAAAGGCATACAGACATGGATGCACTGAAGGTGTTTTGGGATGGCCGATTCGATGAACTTGATGACGTTGTGGATGCAGGACGGCTCACAGGCTGGTCGACAGGCCGGCATACAGTTGGGTGGTAAAGCGGTGGACGGAGGGGGTGCAGCAGGAGTCTGCACAAGGGTTTGCAGCTCGATGCACTGCGGTTCACATGCCGGTTGACAAACGGCGATACACTGGGGCGGTGCCGGAGGTGATGATTGCGCCGTGCATGACGGCTCACAGGACGGCATACAAGCTGGGATACATTGAATCGAAGCGGAAGCCGGTGCCGGTTGCGAAGGAATCTGAAGCGATAGTGTGTTGCTAGGGGAGGATTGAGCAGAAGGGGAAGGAATAAGTGCAGGAGATGTAAAAGCGGATTGGATACAGCTGGGTTCACAAGCCGGCTGACAAGCGGCAATACAATCTTTTGGTACCGTCATCGTCTGTGCTCTGATACACGATTCCAGGCATTGTGGCTGACAGACGGGAATGCATTGAGGTGCCATCGTAGGACGTTGCGAGGCGATACAACTTTCCAGACATGCCGGTTGGCAGGCTGGAATGCACTGCACGATTGGTGTAGCCTGTTGAGGCTGTAGTTGCTGTTGAGCCTGAATACAAGAGGTTTCACAGGCTGGCTGACAAATCACTGGACACACAACGAGGTTAATGTTGATCTGGAGAGGTGCAGTGGGGGCGACGGTGGTGGTTGTGATGGCGCTGAGTGCTGGTGTGGAGGCTACAACTACAGCTGGTGGATACGTGACTGGTGGCAAAAGCGTTGGCTCGATTGGTGCTGGGGTTATTACTGGGTTAGTGCATGAGGGAAGGCAAGCTGGCATACATGGTGGAATACATTTAAGCGGACTTGAGACCATTGCAGAATCCTGGCTGAATTCTCCTGTGGACGCGACGTTGTCCAGACAGCGTAGACGGCAAGCCACATCACAAGTAGTTGAACAAAGCGGTTGATCGATGCCACAAGCACGCAGGCAATCGGCGTTACAGCGTTGAACACAAGGATTCGGTGCTGGTGCAAGTTGATCTACCTGAGCAGGACGAGCCGCGCACGACGAGGCACACTGCTGGCCACAGGACGCTGAGCACCCTGCGGCGCTGTTGCCCTGAGAAACACACTGTGAATGGCAGGTTTGTCCGCATTTCTGGTCGCAGTTGTTCGCGTAGAAGTTGTCGGCCACGTCGATGACGATTCGAATCGGCTGCGCCGCTGCCACTGCAGTACTGTCCGTTGAGTCTTGGCAGCCGAATCGACAGGCGTTGGAGCATGTCTGGTCGCAAAGAGACGGTAGCGAGGCCTTCGCCGTACACGCACCGACACAGACGGACTGACAGTTCTGCTCGCAGCTCTGTTCCATTGATGGAGCGACGGCAACCACCTGTAAAAACGTATATATTTTATGCAGAAAAATTATAGCGGGTAGCATGTAAGAGGTAGCACTGATTGTTTTTTATCAATAACATCCCAGAAGAGTGCGAGAAGCTCTCAGAAGGGGATTGGATGCAGGGTCAAGCTTTCGTTGCGCAATACTGAAGGGTGGTCGTCTTGGGCTTGGCGAAGGCCGAAAGGCCGAAAAGGAGGGGTCAAATTTTAAGGAGATGGGGGATCGTGACTGACGAGTTTCGCTGCGATTTGGCGAAAACTT